TGCCATACTGGAGAACACTAGTTTGGCGTTTGCATTTGCGTTATAGCACACTTCATAGCTAGCCGCATACTCACTTTTCAGTCATCTGGACAAATTTGTATAACTGTTTTGTGATCATTCCACATCAACTTTAAATTAAGACCTAACAAAGGTTTTAAATCAGGCATTAATTCCCAACGGATTAAGTACTTTCAGAATTCGAAATAACCGAACACTAAGATACGGCAAACAAAAGTTTAAGGGCTAGCCATGACCCAGCCTGAGTTTGTTTTAGTCGCGGCACCTCAGATGGCATAGAAATAGTAGCCTCAGCCTTAGCGTCTGAATTATTGATTCATTGTTTTTTCACCTGTCTTAAAATGGTGTATGCGCCAAAGTGGTCATCGCATAATCACAGAAAATGCCCCTGAACTTCAATTACACTAACCTTATTCCGTACCATAGGGCAGTTGCACACTGCAAATATTCTTTGGCAACAAGTTTTTCTACCAGCCGAATAAAATGGACAAGCTATCCGCTCAAATTAGGTCTTTTTACTATAATATGCTTCCGCGGGACTAAAATGTTTACTTGTAGTTGAAGCTAAACGATCAAATGTGCTTTATGACCTTACTTTAGCTGTTTGCCTTAGACTCTCTTCGTTCTTACTTTGATAGCTTTGCTTTACTCTTAAAAAGATTATTCGTGTTCTTTGGCTTCCGTTTGCAGACCTTTTTCATCAAAATATATATAACTTAATTATCGATTTACGGTTTTGTTTTCTGTATAAATTAACAACTCGAGATGCCTGCGCACACCGGTGACACCTCTCACGAGTGGTCATAATTGATGATTCATTAGAATAATAAGCCCATGAATTCATCCCTTATTCGGTTTTTGATGAGATCAGTTGTTTGCTCCCACAGATATGACTATTCACCGAGTTGACGCTTGTCTGAGATTGAACTGACTTTTTTTTGGCAGTAGGAGTCTTGAGGACACTTTGTGTTATCCCGAACTGCTACGTTAATACCTATGTGTTTGTCAGAAAGATGAGTGACTGAAGAAGCCCAGAATAAGCCCGAACCAGAAGCCATTTCAGTCTTTGCCTACTTATTTGCTCTGTCGCTTTGCAGTTTAACAAATTGTTGCGTGTTCGTAATAAACCCAAACAGTCAGTTTGCATGGAGTCTTACATAGCAATCGGACTTTCACAGCGATCGGAATGAATCATGCCAGTAGTTAGTCGGGCCGCACAGAGTCCGTGTCCGTGTGAGTGATGGTATGCTTGGACGTAGGCTTTACGCCGCACCAACCACTGCATCTAATCACAAGAGCAGGTGGCTGGTAAGATCGGGAAGTGGACTGATGCGTGGAAGAGTGAATGAGACGGACACTGAAGAATTCACCGTCACTACACATCAGCATATTCCTAACTATAAGAGACCTGACGCAATTGGCTGCCAATTGACAGTGCAACTCAGTGTTCTCTGGATTGAGGGACAGGCTCAAGGCTCATTCTGGATTTGGCTTAGACGACACGCACGCATTTAAGATCCCAACAATTTTAATTTTCTGGGGGGACCGGGTCCTGCATGGCACGCGTAGACGGGGGTGTTCAGTCTTGTCAGTCACCTCCAGTAGTCATGATATTGCGTTGACAGCGGAACCAGGTG